ACTATCAAGATATAAACAAACAGCCCCTCAGGTGAATTAGGCGACCTTGAAAACCGAATCGATCTCGGTTGCTGCTCCTAGAACCATCGATTCAGATCCCAGATATCTCAGGCACGTCAGGCAACCTTGAAGACGTAGATCTCTCTCTCTCTCTCTCTCTCTATCTTAATTTTGTTCCATCGATCTAGATCTTGATTTGGTTCCTGATTTAATCGAATTAGTTAGGGTTTTTGGTTCTTCGATGCAGACCTGGAATTGATTCCTGATCTATGTTCAATGATGTTTTAGGGTTTTCATTGATATTAGATCTTGGATTTGGGATTTGAAACACGTTTAGATTTGGATTTGGGATTTATTAAATGTTCTTGGTGTTCTTGTGATTGGATTTTAATTTAGGGTTTGATTTATATTGGTTTTTTATTATTATTAAATTTGTATCATTTTATCATCATGATGTTCTTGATTGTATATTTGGAAGAAAAAATACATGATTGATTAAAAAAGGTCTATAATAGAAGAAAAAGGTAAAACGATAAATTTACCTCGTATTTAACGGTAAAAATAGACGATCGTTAACGTCAGGGACTAACTTCATAAATAACCTTTTGTTTCAGGGACTGAATCCATAAATAACCATTTGCCTCAGGGACAAAATCTAAAAAGCCTACATACATGGAGGTTTCTTATATAATAAATGAAGATACAAAATCAACTCCGTAATTTTTGACATACCTGAAGGACCAAATCTGTAATTTACTCTAAAATATAATAGTTTTGTACAAAAAAAGGAGTGCTAATGACACCCCTAACATGAGTTGTTGAATGCTTTGGAAATTGGAATCTCTTTAATTTCTATCGAATGTCAAACTCAATCAATAACATATTATATTTTATTATTATAATATATATATATATATATATATATTATATTCATAGTATATTATCATTATTTTAAGTTATATTAATATTAAATATATAATTTATGTATATAGTTGGTTATAT